CTAAACATTAAGCCCTAAACCCTAAACCCTAAACGATAGTGCGGCCTGGCGACACATTGCAAGCCTGCATCTGGCCGGGTTTCAGCCGGTTCTCCTGCGGCGGTAGGGCTTTTGGGGTTTAGGTAGTTTAGGGTTTGGGGTTTAGGGTTTAGGGGTTTGGGTTTAGGGTTTAGGGCTTAAGGGTTTAGGGGTTTAGGGTTTAGGTTTAGGCTTTAGGGTTTAGGGTTTAGGGTCAGGCAATGAGATTTCGACTGGGGTCGGAGGAGCAAAAAACTTAAGATCCTAGCTGCTGGAGCCAGTCAATGGAGGCTTTGGGGTTTTTCGCAGAGTGAACGGTCATTTCGGGCTTTGGAGTGACATATCTGAGAATGACTTGTCAAGCATGCTGCTTTTGGTTCAGGGCTGAAGCACAGCATTACAGTGATGGCCCAGCTCCTCCCTCGTGATAGCCGTGCTAGCATGCGGCAGCAACAAACCGTGAATCCCAAAGTCCCGAGCCAAAAAGCAAAGCAATACCGCCTTTTCTTCGGGCGTCGGGCCAATGCTTCGCTTTGCACTGCTTGCATCACAGCTAAAGCTGGAGCTATTGACTAGTTTTGTTATTCCGGCGGCGACGATGCTAAGAAGTGTAGATACTACCGATGTTGGTGTTGTTCTATTGCCGCCGCTCGATACCGCTGTATGATTCGTATCCTCAGCCTTAGCCAGGACTAGCCTAGGCGACAAAACAAGGGTTTTACCAACCGGAGCACCTGAAAAAGTCGCATCCTTTGGCTGCTAAATCTTTGTTGTTGTCTTGTTGTCCGTAGCTGAATAAGGAAATCCCGTGAAGTCCCCACCTCCACGTCGAAGCGGACCACATCCCCTTGCTGGGGAATGCTCCCATCCACCACGGACTTGGCAGCAAGGGGCGGAATTCAGCGCTAGGGCTTTGGGCTTAGGCATCGGCATCGCGTTTTAATTAACAAGCTGCTGCTTCAAAAGCTTTGACCAAGGCGCTCCTGCTTGAGGTCCGAACTCTGTAGAGGTGTCTCTGCCTGCCTACCTACCTACCTACCTACCTACCTACCTACCTACCTACCTACCTACCGACCTACCTACCTACCCACCTACCTACCGACC